CCTAAACCCTAAACCCTAACTAATCAGCTCTTCCGCACCCAGGTTCCTTTGCCTGCTTCTGCATGATCCTGGTGAGCTGTCGCATCGAGGGCCCACAGGCTTCCGGCATAGTCCCTGGCATCATTCGGAATTGATTAGGTTTAGGGTTTAGAGTTTAGGGTTTAGGGTTTAGGGTTGAGGGTTGAGGGTTGAGGGTTTGTTTTGCCACCCGCCTGGCTGATGGCAACATCGCACTGCAGGGGAAAGAACTCGTTGTTCATTCATGAAAAGCAGGGAGTTCCTCGAAGACAGTTTCCTCCCTTTCTGTCCCGACCCCTTTCAACCAACAAAAAGGGTTTTTTTTTTGTTTTTTTTTTTTTTTTTTTTGGGGGGGGGGGGGGGGTTAGGGGTTAGGGTTTGGGGGCCCTGTACTTTTTTTTCTGGCTTTTCTGACCTTGTAAGAGTCATATAGGGAAGAAGGGTAATAAAAATAAAAATAGGTTCAAACATGCCCCTGTAGAACTAGGCTTAAACTGTAGAGTTTGGGTTCTACGTTTAGCCCTAACCAATACATGGGCAGTTCTCTAAGCCATGTTTTCCTACTTTAGGACGAGGTCCTGACAAACCCCAAAAGCCCCCTAAACCCTAAACCCTCACCCTAAACCCTAAACCCTAAACCCTAAACCCTAAACCCTAAACCCTAAACCCTAAACCCTAAACCCTAAACCCTAAACCCTAAAGGCTCTTCAGGGTTCCTATTATAGCTGAATATTAAGGGCGCCCCGGAAAAAGGAACCGCTGCCAACGGAGCAACTCGTAGGCTGCGCATGAAGCGCCAAGAGCACAGGAAGAAAATTGCACAAGGTTTAGGGTTTAGGGTTTAGGGTTTAGGGTTTAGGGAAGATCAGCCACTAGAAATCACCTAATAAGCGAAGACTTCCATAAGGCCGAAGTGCTGGGTTCCCTGCCCGCACAATTGCAGCATCTCTGTCACAACAATACACTTTATCGGCTCTAAACCTACCTCAGTCTCTTTTAGCACCACTACAGTAACAAGTTATTTTACTTCGAACATCCCCACCCTCTCTTGGTAGAGATACTCTGGGGTTGGCACTCCAGAAACATTCTGGGGTTGGGCACTCCAGGGAGACTCTGGGTTGGGCCCTCCAGCAAGATTCTGAGACTGGGCCCTCGCGGACACTCTGTGGTTGGGCACTCCAGGGGGGTTGGGCACTCCAGCAAAACTCTAGGCTGGACACTCCAGGGAGACTCCTGGGGCTGGGCACGCCGGGACACTGTCCAGGGAGACTTTGAGGGAGACTGCTAGGTTGAGCACTTGAGGGACACTCTAGAGTTGGGCACTCCAGGGACACTTTTGGGGTTGGGCACTCCAGGGATGAGCGAGTAGACCGGGCGAGGAGAAGAGTTCCGGGCGAGGAGAAGAGTTGAGTTTGAAATCTAACAACCCCACACCGAGGGTGGCGAAAAACAACAGAATCCTCGTAGGGGCCCGGCCCGTCTCAGGGCAAAGAAGGCTGAAGGTACACGTCAAGTCCTTCGGCTGTTTGACAGAGGGGTCCAGGAGGGCATCTGCAGGCGGCTTTCGGCTTTCGGCTCTTTAGGGTTTGGGATTTGCCTCCGGGGTTGTGGATTTGCTGATCTTGTACTTACCAAAAGCCCGAACACCCTAAACCCTATGCCCTAAACCCTAAACCCTAAACCCTAAGCCTAAACCCTAAACCTATAGCCAGGCGAAGTGCATCGCAGGGCAGGACTTCACTAGGACCTGAAAAGTGCGGCTTTTCCCTAAATCCTAAAAACCTTAACCCTAACCCCAAACCCAAAAAGGGTCTAGGGTTTAGGATGTAGGTCTTAGGGGCTTAGTTGGGGTCGTCTAAACCCTCAACCCTCAACCCTAAACCTTAAACTCTAAACCGTAAACCCCAAACTCTAAACCCTAAACCCTAAACCCCAAGCCCTAAACCCTCACCTCAGCATCCTCCGGTGGCAGCTGTGCTGGCGGGCACTGCTTCAGCTGTCGCCACTGCCTCATTCCATCGGATGCGCCCTATAAGCACTCTTAGGATTTAGGGTTAGGGTTTAGGGTTTAGGGTTTAGGGTTTAGGGTTTAGGGTTTAGGGTTTAGGGTTTAGGGTTTAGGGTTTAGGGTTTAGGGTTTAGGGTTTAGGTTTTAGGGGTTAGGGTTTAGGGTTTAGGGTTTAGGGTTTAGGGTTTAGGGTTTAGGGTTTAGGGTTTAGGGTTTAGGGTTTAGGGTTTAGGGTTTAGGGTTTGTTTCATGGTCCCCTTAGTATGGGCCCTTAAGAAGGGGACCCCTTACATACCCCGTACATACTCACTGGGCCCATACCTTCAGAACCCTTTTTGAAAAAGGTGAGGTGACGATACTAAGGGCCCATGCAACTACCCAAAAAAGCCCTGAGCCGCTCTCAACCCTGGGACCCGGACCCCCCTGTGCCCTGTAACAAGTCAAGGCTTAGGGCTTGGGGCTTAGGGCTTAGGGTTTAGGGCTCGGGGCCTAAACCCTAAGCCCTAAACCCTAAACTCTGAACCCTAAACCCTTTTGGTGTAGGGTTTAGGGTTTTTAGGGATTACTCAAGCATGCCGAAAACGGGCTTTGATGTGAATTTGCGATGGCCTGTCGAGCGGCGATGTTGCCAGGCTGCCTTGTGCAATTTAGGGTTTAGGGTTTAGGGCAGTCAACCCACGTCGCTCTGAGTGGCTGATTGGGGTATTGGGGGTGATTTGGCTGCGCTCCCCGAAAGCCCTCTAGACTTGCCGTGAGACTCCCTAAATAGCCCAAGAAGAACGGTTTAGGGTTAGGGATTAGGGTTTAGAATTTAGGGTTTTGGGTTTAGCAAAAGGTACTCTTCGGCGTACTTGGAAGGGTGCAGGGAAGAGAGGAAGAAGAGAAAACTGCAACTTCTGAAATCCCTAAGCCTCAAGCCCTTTGCCCAAAACCCTGGGCCCCTAAACCCTAAACCCTAAACCCTATACCCTAAACCCTAAACTGCCCCTCCCCTCCCTCTTCGGCCTTCCTCAAGGCGTCTTGCCGAGATAGAGGCCGGTGGGGGCGGTGCCCAGCCTAATGGTTCAGAACTTTTGGGGTTTAGGGTTCTTGTTTGGGGTTCAGAACTTTTAGGGTTTAGGGTTTAGGATTTAGAGGCGCAGGGGTTTCAGGGTTTAGAGTTTAGAAGGGTTTGCAGCCCTAAACCCCAAAAAGGAAACCTAAATTCATGTAACTGGCATCTGCCCAGGGTTTAGGGTTTAGGGTTTAGGGTTGATTACACAAGGAGGGCACCCCGGACTCTACTATCAGGGACTTCTGGCCTGAGATGCAATTCCAGTACACCTCCTGAACGTTCAACGCAATGCTGAGCTTCGGACGCCTTAGGTTGATCCCCACCAGCAACTGCAGCAGCCTGGACGGCATTTTCGCCGTTAACAAGCATGAACCCTAACCTCCAACATTCAGCATAGCCCCAAGGGTTCATGTGCCGATGTGTGTATGTGTTTGGGTTCTAGCGCTACTGCATAGGGACCCCTTTTGACGGCCCAAGTGTATATGGTATGGGTACATGGACTCTGTGGGCACCGTCGCCGAAACTAGAATCTGCGCGAGGCGCCACGAATCTGCGCCGGGAGCCGGAACATCTCTTAATGCCGAGTAAGCGATATACCTTTGGGCAGGTGGTCGCTCCAAGGGCGAACTTCTTCAACAGATTTACAAGATCTGGGTCATGCAGCTTGTTGAAAAAGAGCCGCGCTTTATCCTATGGGTATTTCCCAACATAGGGTACCCCTTTCATACCCCAAAATAGAAAAGAATTCCAAGGACCTCCCCGGAAACCCCCATATACTGAAATCCGCCATTCATTGTGGGTGTGTGGCATGAAGGTCTCATGGCTCGCATGCTGTTCAGAGTTGTCTGCTTCTTGAATCCCGGGCAGTCCAATACCTAAACCGCAACCCTTTTCGTAGCTAAATGGGGAATTGCGGTAGGTACCCTACCATGTAGGGACCCTTTTGCCTCTGGGCTCGTCCCCCCGCTTCACAAAAGCCGTATCATTCGCGGCCGCAAGGACACCATTTTGCCTCATGTTGACGAAGAACGACAATCCAACAGCCACCCTCCCTGAAAACCTTCTGAGGGTAGCCCACCTTGCCCATGGCTCGCGTCGCGCGAGCCGTTGCTCGTGCCTAGTCGAGGTAGAGAGAGGGCTGGCGCGGGGGGGGGGGAGTTGCAGCTTCCGGGATGAGATCTTACGGCCCAATGCCAAGTAAGTTCAAAAATGGGGCCTCAATCAGCCTCGTAATCTTACAGCTCGGCAAGATTCGTGCACGTGTGATCACACTGAGTCGTACTTTCACGACTACAAGCTTGGTTAACCCTAAATCGTAAACCCGAAACCCTAAACCCTAAACCTTCTCTACTTAATGTGTCACATTCACAATGTTCAGGCCAAAGCCAGCACAGGCCGGACCTGAAGCGGAACACACCTTTACCCTAAGGCTCCACATTGCCCTAGAAAGGCAGTAGTTGTAGACTTGAGCCCCCTGGAGTACGTATGACTTGCCTACCTGGAGGTATATGGTTCGGGCTTCTGATTGAGAGGAGGAGGCCTTGGAGTTTCAGTGCATCTGGGGATTTTGGGGTTGAGGGTTGAGAAGCCTACATACCCTTGAAAAGGTTACTGTGGCCCTTGCTTATGTATAAGCTGCTCAAGGTAACAGGTAGGAAGGGATTAAGGGTTTTGGGGTTTTGGGGTGTAAAGCGCTCAAGATAAAGTTACAACCTTCGGGATGACCGGTAGGACAGGCAGGGCAAACCCCGAAAGGAAAACCCTCAGAGCTAAGATTCACGGTATCCTAAACAGGCTACACCTAGACCACGGCATTGTAGTTGCTTCTCTGCCACAGAAAACCAGGAATATTTCCCGAGAAACAGATTGAAAGGCTACTTACTCGACTGGTGGCTTTGGCTAAACCCTAAACCCTAAGCCCTAAGCCATAAACCCTAACATCCAGGACTCTGACCAGTCAAAGGCCAAGTATTCTGCGAAGCCGAAGCTCACCCGGACCTCCAATGTCAAGCGCGTCTAAACCGTCCCCCTAAACTGGTTTAGGGTTTAGGGTTTAGGGTTCAGGGTTGCCCAAAGCTCAGAAACAGTAGCAGCTAGAATGGCCCAAAAATCCTGAACCAAAGCCTGTTTGCCCCAAATGCGTTTCTATGGCCTTAACTGAAAAAAGGATCCTTTTTGTTCATATATAAGAAAGCCCATAACCCAAAAAGTAAAAAGGATCCCTAACACTCATGGAGTTAAAGTTTGCGAAGGATCGCCTGGGGCAAAAGGGGGCTGGCTTCCGAAAGGAAAGGATCGAGGTGGCCGAAGCTCAAGGGAACTGGAAACTAGTGATCTCGAAAATGGGAGTTCCTAGAGCAGGTCTAGAATAAAAGGCCTTTCTGGGGTCCTCTCTGACTTTCTTCCGTGCGGGTATGCCCCGTGTGGATACCGTGCACTGTGGGTTTGAAGAATGGACCCGTGGTCTTGAACCCTTTTTCTCCCTGGTTCTTAGTAGGGAATGAGGGCCCTATAGAATCCCTTAAAGGGTTTTTATAGGGCCCACATTCCCTCATTCCCTACTAAGAACCAGCCAGTTTTAGGTTTTACTGCGCAAGCCTTCTGCTCCAGAGGAATTCAAGCTTTAGATTAGGATTGCTCTAGACCGTAAACCGTCTGGGGTCTCGGGTCCTAGATGGTCTTAAGGTTGTCATTTTTTCCAAGCTCGTGCTGTTGAAGGGTGGCAGTGGCAGGGTTTGGGGTTTGGGGTTTCGGGTTCCCTAAACCCTAAACCCTAAACCCTAAACCCTAAGCCCTAAGCCCTAAGCCCTAAGCCCTAAGCCCTAAGCCCTAAGCCCTAAGCCCTAAGCCCTAAGCCCTAAGCCCTAAGCCCTAAGCCACACCGCGGGACCCGAGAGCTCCTTTGGGGTCCAAGGCCTCCAGAGCTCTTTTGAGCCTTTGGGTTTAGGGTTTAGGGTTTAGGGTTTAGGGTTTAGGGTTTAGGGTTTGGGGCTTAGGGATTAGGGTTTAGGGTTTGGGGCTTAGGGTTTGGGGTTTAGGGTTTGGGGTTTAGGGTTTAGGGTTTGGGGTTTACGGTTCTTTTCACAGCAAAGTCACAGAAACGCCGATTACTAAGGCCCATTGCGCTCCAGTTAGGGTTTTTTTAACGTTAACAAACGCCTAGTTTTTTTTTTTTTTTTTTTTTTTTTTTTTTTTTTTTTTTTTTTAATTTTGTTTTTTACGTATTTAGGATTACCGTTTTTAAACGTTAATAAAGCCCCCCCAAAAAGCGAACTCAGATGCCATCGACCTCTGAGGAAGCTCGGGGGATGAAACCCCAAAAAACCCTCAACCTCAAGACGCGGCACTGAATCCGGCGCCCTAAAAGCTCTTATTTAACCCTAAGGCCCATATCCTTCCAAAATGGCCAAACCCTAAACCCTAAACCCTAAACCCTAAACCCTAAACCCCAAACCCTAAGCCCTAAGCCCTAAGCCCTACTAAGCCGCAAACCGAAAACCCTAGATCCTGTGGGTGCCTCAAACACTCCAAAGCCAAATGAACCTGGACGTGGCAATTGGGCTTCTCTTGAGAATAGGGGTTTGTTCTTTTCTTTAGGGTTTAGGGTTTAGGGTTTAGGGTTTAGGGTTTAGGGTTTAGGGTTTAGGGTTTCGGCGGTTTCGGGTTTCGGGCTTACTTAGGGACTTTAGGGCATAGGGACTTGACGCTGAACACCAGCCAGATTTATAAAGCTCGTGTAACATTAGAAGGCGCCGCTCTTTTCAACATCTAAACCCTTTTTTCACACAAACCCTCAAATGGCCTCCTGCGATCTCTAGGGCGCCTAGAAGCTCAAAGCAGAAAGGTTTGTACCGTGTTTAAGGTCCAGGGGGGGGTGCCAAGGCGTGGACGGCTTTCCCATGCCTTCGGCGGGTTTTGGGCACTTGGGCTTCTTGTGTCGAGGGCACGCTGCGCTTCTCTCTCCGTCGACGACACTCTTTAAGGAAACTAAGTCTTAAGCCAGGAGGCCGCAGGAGGCCAGTAGGTTCTGAACCGCTGCTAGATAAGCCGAAACCGCTGTTACTACTACTGCTGCTAAGACTACTACTACTACTACTACTACTACTACTACTACTACTACTACTACTACTACTACTACTACTACTACTACTACTACTACTACTACTACTACTGCTGCTTAGACTACTACGACGACGAGGAGGAGGATGAGTACGACGACGACTGGGAGTTGCTACTACCACCACCACCACTGCTATGGCTACTGCTACTGCTACTGCTGCTCCTCTCTGGAAACTTCAGAGTTTCCGGGCCTCTCCAGGGGCCGTTTAGGGTTTGGGGCTAAACCTAAACTTCCTAAACCCTAGGTTTAGGGTTTAGGGTTTAGGGTTTAGGGTTTAGGGTTTAGGGTTTAGGGTTACCTAACCTTGCCACACCCAAACTTCCGGAGCCCAAGGCCCAGTTCCCGGAGCCTTCGCTTGGCACCACATGGCCTGTCGGACCGGAAGACCGCAACATCCCAGCAACCCCTGCTAAACCCTAAACCCTAAACCCTAAACCCTAAACCCTAAACCCTAAACCCTAAACCCTAAACCCTAAACCCTAAACCCTAAACCCTAAACCCTAAACCCTAGCCCTCCAAGGGTTCAAGGCAGGGTTTTAGGGTTTCGGGGCTTTTGGGGGGCATGTGGGGCATTTGGGCTTCTCGAGAGAGTGGTATTTTGGGTTTAGGGTTTATAGCTTATAAGTTTACAGGGTTGCTTTGGGTTCTAGGGCTTGGGTACTTAGGTTCTAGGGGCTTCAGCGATGAGAAATTAGGAATTGTAGGGCTTTCGGAGTCCGGGATCTTTAGGAGTTCGCTGAAGGCTTTGAGGTTTCAGGGTTTTAGGTATTCAGGTCTTTTAGGGCTTAGAATAGGGTTCAGGGCTTGCAGGTTTTTGTTCTAAGGCTTTAAGGTTCGGAAAGGGTTGTAGCATTTCAGCAGCGCTTCTTTTCCCTAAACCCTGAACCCTGAACCCTAAACCCTAAACCCCAGGGGGCTTTCAGGCTGCGGATGCATGGCACTACCGGGCTCGACATGGCAAGTGCGAGCCACGTGTTTTTGTCCAAATCCAGCAAGGTTTAGGGTTTAGGGTTTAGGGTTTAGGGATTCTAGGTTCGGGGCCTATAGTCCCTGAACCCGAAGCCCGAAGCCCGAAGCCCGAAACCCTCAATCCCCAAAGCACTTAGACCAAGCCTCGGCTATAGATGCCGGAAACGGAGATGTCCTCTCCATCCCTGAACCGAAGGCAGGGCTTCCAAAAAAAGGGGTTTAGGGTTTAGGGTTTAGGGTTTAGGGTTTAGGGTTTAGGGTTTAGGGTTTAGGGTTTAGACAAGTGCTACTTACCCTGGAAATATGGACCAACAACACCCCTATATACTGCGGTTTTTGGTAAATTGTGAGACACAGTTGAAAAAAAGTGCATAACTGTTTTCTCTTCCCGAACAGAAGACAGTCAAAAGGCCTGAACCCTAAATCCCACACCCTAAGCCCTCTCTCTCTCACAGGTGCTCCGTGCATGTCAGGCCTGAACAACTGCAATGCTCTCGTGGCATCAATTCCATCACAAACCCCTAAACCCCTAAACCCCTAAACCCCTAAACCCCTAAACCCCTAAACCCCTAAACCCCTAAACCCCTAAACCCCTAAAAAACCCCTAAACCCCCAAAAAACCCCTAAAACCCCTAAAACCCTAGTTTCGGGTTTGAAGGTTCGGCGGCTCCAGGCCTACCCTCGATACTGTTTGTCGGGCTTACATTTAAAATAGGGTTTAGGGTTTAGGGTTTAGGGTTTAGGGTTTAGGGTAATTTATATTCCTTTTTGGGAATTTCATCTGACCAAACATGTAAAAAATATTAAAAATGATCATGTCTATTCCTTATTGGGGGTTTAACCTGACAAAAAAAACAAGAGGATAGAGTGGGCTCAACTCCATCTTGCCCCTTGCAGCTTCAGGGTTTAGGGTTTAGGGTTTAGGTTTTAGGGTTTAGGGCGCCCCTTCGGCAAAGGGACCCTACATGCTGCAACCTGTGATGTGGTTGTGTCCAATGACGATGCTGTTTTTTTTTTGGGGGGGGGGAAGGAGGGGGGGGGGGGCTATTTGTTTGTGTTATCGTTGCTGTTTCCCTGGTGGCCATAGGTGGCCAGTCCTGCGCTGTCGCCCTAAACCCTAAACCCTAAACCCTAAACCCTAAACCCTAAACCCTAAACCCTAAACCCTAAGTTACCGTGCTTGGCCCGCTGCCTCCACCCACGAGCGCGTGCACACTCTTTTTGCGCCACTTCACTCGCCATGGCGCGAGTCGCCCCGAAATACGTCACCGGACATTTCGGAAGGCATTCCACCGGTTCAGGGTTTAGGGTTTAGGGTTCAGGGTTTAGGGTTTACGAGTTTAGGGCTTAGGATTTAGGTTGGACCCTTAAGGTTGTAGATTTGGGTTCTGGGGATCCTTTCTATAGGTCCGTAAGGTAGTAGAAGGGACATCTTGGGAGAATCTGATTAGGGTTTAGTGTGTAGGGTTAAGGGTTTAGGGCCATTTCTGGCCAGCAGGCATATTCAGGCCACATGGGGGTTTGCGAAAAAAAAGGGACCCCTAATATAGACCCCCAAGACCCCCAAGTAGTAGGATTTCCTCATAACAAGGACCCCCCCATAAGGTACCCCTTTTTACATCTAGGCCTCTGAAGTCTGAAGGTACCCCCTAATTTCGGAAACCCCCCCACATTGATGCGCAGAAAACTGGCAGGACATGCTTACCTGCGATAGGTGCAGGTAAGGGTGAAACCTTCATAACACTTTGTGCTAGGCATTTTACCTCAGATTCATCGTGGTCTTCCTTGATACAACTCGGATGGCCCTTAGAACCCTCTGAAAAAAAACATTCCTGAAGATGTTCCTCTTAAGCCAATAAAGGGTTTAGGGTTTAGGGCTTAGAGTTTAGGGCTTAGGGATTAAGGGAAAAACTGTCCCAAGGGCCTCCCGAGACAATCAAACGGCTTATGGGCACGAACTCAGATCGGAGCTCGAGCCGTCTAAAAATGCGCGTGCCAGGATGGCGTGCGCTACGAGGTCAGCACGAGCTGCCACCACACTTGCACGCAACGATGATCACCGCGTTTCAACCGAAAAGACAGTGACTGCGGAAGACCGCCACTGCTCTGCATCCCCAAGCTGGAGCAAATTTGGAAAATCCTTGGCTGCACTTAGGAGGGTAGCAAAAAAAGAAACTTTTAGCTGCCCTATTATGAAACCCAATAAACCCAAAAAGGCTAAAGATGTAAAGTCACAGTAAAGCACCACAAAGAGTCTTCAGCATTCGGGAATGAGAGTTCGCAGCTCCATCTGCATGAGGAGGTTGTAATCCTGACATGTTGAGGCACGGAACCATTGAAACCCTAAACCCTTCTTCAGCCTAAACCCTAAACCCTTAACTTAACCCTAAACCCTATTTCCTACAACCCTGACTTGGATGCTGAAGCCAACTGCCCCTAAACCCTCAAATCAACAGCACCAGGCTTGGGGGTGTAGGGTTTATCCCTAAACCCTAAAGCCTAAACCCCTAAACCCCAAACCCTACTAAACCCTAAACCCTAAACCCTAAACCCTAAACCCCAAACCCCAAACCCTAAACCCTAAACCCCCTATGCCCCCTTACAAAGCAGCTTTTGGGACAGCTCCGGTCGAGAGTTTCAGGGGTTTCTAGGTTTTTTAAGCGTGCAGGGTTCAAAGCGAGTTTAGGGCTTTTTGCCGAGTTTAGGGTTTAGGGTTTGGAGGCTATAGCTAGAAGTGGTTAGAGCCTTGTTTAGAGTACTGTCTACGGCCTCTTGCTCTCAGGGTAGTTCTCCCCCTTTTGCAGTACCTCAAGACTATCGCCTAGGCGGTGGGCAGCGCCCTAAACCCTAAACCCTGAAACCCTAAAACGTAAGTGTGAGGGTCAAAGGCCAAGGGAAGACCCATGGGTTATTCCTCTTAATTCGGGAAATGCACCTGAACGCCCACAAGGGTCCTGACTACCATCAAACGTATGTTCACCCTTAAAGTTTTTTTGGGCAGCCGAACTGAGAAACCCTAAACCCGAACCCTACTGAGCTCTCGGTCCCTAAAGTGCCTAACCCTAAACCCTAACCCCTAAATGTCTCTCAAGCGCCTGCTCGGATTGCCCAACTTCGGCCTGCCCAACTGCACCGTCCACTATGCCACGCATGCACAGCTCCCCGGCGACGAAGGTGGCACCCAAGCCTTTCATGGGTAGATGTGAGTAGGGTTTAGGGTTTAGGGTTTAATTAGCGTTTGGGGTCTAGGGATTAGTGTTTAGGGGTTACTTGAGGGGAGGTGCGCATGTCTTCACGGAAGTTGTGTGTATACATCTGTATATATATATATATAAATATATATATATATATATTTATATTTATTTATTTATATTTATACAAATAAATAGATGTACACATATACATATATGGGAAGCTTTGTAAGGAGCTTCTAGCTGTCTGCCGGCCCCACTTACGAACAAGAGCCGAGGGGGCTTGTAGTCCAAGGTACGATACCTATAACCTCAAGGCTGGGACCCTCTAACGACTTGTAGCCCTAAACCCTAAACCCTCAACCCTACACCCTAAACCATAAACCCTAAACCCTAAGCCCTAAGCCCTAAGCCCTAAACCCTCTTTGTGTGAGGCCTTCGCACGGCAAACGCAAGCGCCATCCTCCAAAAGCCTTCATGTTCACTCTCAGAAAAGCAAAGGATCGCTTCATTTTCTACACCCCTTAGGGTAGTTTCATGGTCCCTTACTATGGGCTCTTAAGCCGGGAGCCCCGTTCATCCTAGTAAGGGGCCATGAAACTGCCCTTAGATACACAGGACCTTCAGCACGAAGCCGCAAAGCTCGAATCTCAAACTCAGCTATGCGTCTTTGTTGGGGGGCCTAGAGGTCTTACCCTGCAAGCCCAAACGCTACAAATCAGCAAGCTTTAGCTTCCTCTAGTTAGAGATAGACAGATAGATAGCTCTACACATATATATATATATATATACAGATAGCTCTACATACATATGTATATATATATACAGACATACGCACACACAAGAAGCAATTGCTTGAGGGTCGGGAAACTAAAAACCTGTAAACCCCAACCTCTGGCAGCCTAAACCCTTACCTTCAACATTCCCCAGATCTTTCGCTCTCCTGCATCCTTAGCAAAGTTAACCCTAAACCCTAAACCCTAAACCCTCGACCCTAAAACCTAAAATGTTGGGACCAGCGGCCTGGGATTTGGAACTTGACTCCCAGGCATCGTTCGTCGAGCTGCTCTCGGTGATACCAGGCATTCCTAGAGCGTCGGCCCCCCATCTTCGCCCCTAAACCCTAAACCCTAAACCCTAAACCCTAGAACCTAAACCCTGAATCTGAATCTGGGCTGGGAGGGGAAGCCTTTGAACCCTAAACCCTAAACCCCATTTTCCATCTGGGCTGGGAGGGGAAGCCCTAGGCCCTAAACCCTAAGCCCTTAACCCTAAACCCGGTTTGATCTGCCTAGTCAAGGGCTCAGGGTTCGGGCACGCCGGTTCCCTCTTTGATATTCGCCCTTATGCCGACAGTCCTTACTAGGGATTCTAATCCCTATGAAGGACTGTTGGTGTTAGTAGAAGGGGGAACATCCCAAGTTTAGGATTCAGGGAATCCCTGTTTTGAACCCAGACTCTGTGCCAAGGCCAGATAGGTGCCATGCCCTCACTCACTTCACTCAATGCACAGCCAGGAAATCCATGAGACTAGCCTGCGAATTGCTGAAGAACCGCCCAAAGCAAAAACAAATATGGTTCTTTGTCAGCGCAACATAGGGATTGTTTTTTTTTTTTTTTTTTTGCGGGGGTCCTTTAAGTAGCAATAGTGGTAGAAGCTTGAACCCTTGTTTCTCAAACCTTGAATTCTAAATCGCAAAGAAATGGGCTTCTGAAACGGAATCGGAATCTGTGGAGCAGGGGGCCATTAGACCCTACTAAAGGTTTAGGGTTTAGGGTTTAGGTTCAGGTTTTTGGTTCCTGCTTCACATACCTCATTGTAGGCTTCAATGTAATACCACTGAAGGACAACGACGAGTCCAGTCCAGGGCTTGGTCTCTCTTGCGGGCCTAGGGTTAGATTGCAAGGATTTCTGGCGGGGCTTGCCAATCTAGGCGCCTGTTTGGCTCGAGTCTATGGGCTGGAGTTCATGGCCGTTTTAATGCTTCGAGTGG